CTCTGACATTAATTAAGTTGACAAGTACAAACTAATTTCATGCTTGTTTTCTTGCAAATGTTCCTTTACTGACAAATGATGACATGTATTGATCAATCTATATTTCGTGTTATTTTTAATAATGAATTTCAAAAACATAAGACATAGATATCGATTTTAATGTTTACATTCAATGGAACCTAACAATAAATATTATTTTTACTATGCATCTTCCATAAAATATTGATATTCCGTCATGATGGTATGCATTATAATCAGCATTACTTAATAATGTTATATATATATAACATTGATTTCATTAAAGGTTCATTTTATGAAATAATCAGACATAGAATTTTTATTTATCTTCAATCAAGAATATTTTTCAGTCTCAATAAGTTTAACTATTCAAAAAAAACTCTTGTTAGAAATTAAGTAATTGGAAACATATTTCTCTGGAGATTCAAGAAAAGAAGCTTGAGTCTCCGTCTGTTTTAAATTGCTATATCAAAATAATTTCTATCGTGATATCCATTACATAAGTTCCAATATATAGACAATTTATTTATGAACAGACTTCCCAGTAGTAGACGTTTATATCATATAAATGAAGTGATATCTTAAAAATCTTGCAACGTAAATTAGCCGATGACTTTTGAAAAATCGATATTTGAATAACATTTTATCAATTCTGAAAATATACATTAAGAATTATCAAATGAATAAGCAGAAGAAATCTGTATAACAAGGAATACACGGCCTCTAAATAGTCGCTTTCTGTTAGTTAACAGGTCGATATTTAAATGATTACAATTAGGATTAAACAGAACTTTTTTTTCCATACTGTATAATTTTGAACAGTTTCATTAACTTATGTATAGCTCGAGTGTACTAGTAATGTGAACTCGTAAACCTAAGTTTCAACCGAAACTTGACTGGCTGATTATCTTATATTATTCAGTTATTAGAACTATTGCATTTGGACCTAAATATTGAATATTGACTGAACTCACATTTTATGAATTTTTATTAGTTTTCTACAATTCTCCATCCAAAATCAATTTTAAGATAGACAATACAAACAAATGAGCTCTGGTCTTACTCTCTTCATGTAATGATATCTTAGAAGGTAGGAAAGTTGTGTTTTAACATCTTTTGCTCATCCAGATGAGTATATACTAGAAGTAAGATTATTCTGTCACTATTTAAATCAAGCCCATCTCAATTCATATCTGCAGTGTTATACATTACACCAGTGACTTATGGATAATGGTTTAATTTACTTGGATTGATTGAAACAGCTACCAAATTATGAATCCTACTTTATTTTTAAAAGTAGTTAAATTTTATCTCTTAAATCTCAGAGTAGTTTCATCACTGATAACAATGATAAAACATTGGCATGTCGAAGGTGACCATTTGGTGATACTTAATAACAGTTGCCATATGTGCATAGTTATAAGGTTTGGAAGACGAGAACAAAATACCATATACATAAAATACAGATATTCTATGTTTACATAAGAATGTACTGTAAAACTGAAGTTGGATTTCCAGAAAATATAGTTCCCTGACAAATTAAGAGTTACATGATGACTAAGTATTCGTCACTCTCTAAAATTCGATGTGAACAATAAAAATCATATATCTTTAGCTCGTTAAAGCATTTTTGACCTTCTATCCTTTGAAAAGAATAGACGGAAATTGATACACAGTAAGTTGTGACAAAATAGCCAATTAATAGTTGATTATTTTTTGAAGAAATTTTAACCTAAGAGGTCGGTGGAGTTCAGTTGTAATGAGGAATAATATGTTCTTTTCAAGAGTGTAATTTATATGGATTTAAAAAATCTTTTTTTAAGCACAAAGACAAATGAAATTTTTAACTAGCACATCAAAAGGAAACGGACATTAAAAATTAAACAAGCCTAACTGAAGAAAAAATCTATAAGGATAACATCTTTAAACAATTTTGTAACTCAAGTGATAATGATTAAAGAACTTAAAAAGTTCATTTTATAATATCGGTGAGAATGATTTGAGACTGCTCTTCTCTAGTCAAAATTCAATGAATTAGAGAAAAAAATGTCAAATTAATGACCATTTCGATGAATAACCAATTTCTCTCTTGAGAAAAGCTCAATGATCATCCTCAAAATCTTGTTTGTAGACAACATTCAATATATACCATTGTTTGTTCAGAGGAAAATAATAACAAACCAATGACATTTCGTTGACAGAAAATACCATACTACTTAGTTGATTATAAAGCATAATTTATGTAGCCTTTTCATACCCTTTTAAAAAGGTTTGAAATAAGTTCTTCATTAATTTAAACCAAGTAAACTTTTTTCAGCAGTTGCTGTCAACATGATGAGCACACTAAAGTTCAGTGGGTATCTATAACCCAATAATTTAATATTTATCGTACTTAACGCTTGCAACAAGTTTTAATTATGAATTATTTTGTGATAAACTAAACAATCCTACTATCAGTCAAAATTCTTAGGTGATACGACCTGAAGAAAACTGTTACACAGTTTTAAAAAAAGATTTTTTTGACCTTAAGTAGTAAAAATTATTACCGAAAATTTATTTTTATGAATTTTTTCAAAGATAATTGACCATCGACTTTATCCTCTTAGTGTATCGATTATAATGATCAATCGACTTTGAAAATTGAGTAAAATACATAGTCGGAGTATTACGATGATGTGGAGCAGCTACTATCAGTAAACCCTGGAAGTAATACTTAACTTAGTGTTGCATCTTTTTTAGCGACTGAATTGGAGAACTTATCGATCGTATCCTATTTAGTTACAAGTTTATTCAGCTTCCTAACTTTTAAGAGACTTTCATTCTACTGGATAAGTATCAATGATTGCCCAGTTCTGTTTGATTATCAATGGCTATGAAGCTTGTATTAATCTATGGTGTAGAGTATCTAAAAATGAATCAGTTCTGAATATCCAATGCTAACCACAAATCCCAATAAGCTCTTTCTGAAAACTATGTTCTTCAGAGTAAACTAAAACAAGATTGAGGACTAATATCAACCGATGACACTGAGGAATGGAATTTTCCACTGTACATAAAGTTGACTGAAGTTCTAGGATTCACAACATCTACCCCTAGCCGAATTACTGTCAATGAAAATGTTTCACTCTCAATCATGGACTCACTATGTGGTGTACGCAAAAACAGGATAAACAAACTTCTAGTGTTTCATAGTTTACAATGGAACTTTCAACTAATGCCATTTAATGGAAAAGAATATTAATTTTATTTCTACGTAGTTTCATCAACTATATTGTTACATAGGACAAATAATTTCAGCAAATAGGTGATAATAGTTACACGCAACATTAAACTTTGCTGATTATTCAGAAGCTGTGACTATTGCCATTATAATTATGAACAAAATGTTTACGCTATTTTTAATACCTTCTCTCAAAATCTGTCACCAATACATTACTAATTAAAAAAAGAATTGTGTACATCTCTATGGAATCACAGATAATATCAGTCATTTATTCATACATTCATTATCATAACAATACAAATCAACCGTTTTCAATGAAACAGCCAAATTCAATGATGAAATATGTATAAAATTTGCCCCGCCTTCTCGTGGCGGGGGTGTTGTTTACGAAAATGAGAGGACGAAAAGCGAATGTCCGGCGCTTTAACCGGATTCAAAACCAATGGTGCACATGGGCTCCAGTATCCTGCGGGAACAAATGGCGTATGAACCAATTGCTGGTCACCGGCTTCCATGGGACTGCATCTCCTTACGATGCTCCACTGCCTTGTGGATCAGACCATTAGGTCAAAGGCTCGGGGTGTGGCCCCCTAAGAAAACCACCTGCTTCGGTCTGGGTACCCGGGCAGTATCATAGCCCTCACACATATCGAATAAGATTTGTGTGGCGCACATGTATTTGGTGCCTCTTTGTACCATTATCTATGTGTTGAAATAAAAAAAATAATAAAAAATGATTAACAGAAAACATCCGGTTGTACTAAAACTAGTTTATCCATTGAAACAAAAAGTTGATCATCTATTTCATTACTTTTTTGGGTACCTTTTTTGATATTTCGGTTAGTTACATTGAAGTATTTAAAATTTCTAAATTTTCATGTAACCAAAATCTGAGAGAACTGCAGATTTTCATGATCATTATGTGCATCTGTAAGTCAGTCATAAATAAAATAGAAACAATTAAGTATGAGAAAAGGTTCAAATTCCTACAAAGCAACAACATAGTTACATGAAATTAGCCAGATGAACATCAAGCTAATGGAAGTATCAGTGATGGCAAAAAATACTAAGGATAAAAGATATGATTCTAGAAAAATGAGTTCGCAAAATAAAAAGTATATAATTTTGGAAATCAGGATCAACGGAAGACAAAGTAAATGAATCTGTGCGATTGTGACCGATTCCGAGGTATGTCACCTAGAATCTGAAGCCAGCATTTACCAAAGTATCTCAGTCGATAGAGTCACAATCTTATCAACCGATCTTCCATGTAGCGAACCTAAGTATGATCAAATATACTCGGAAAACGTAGTGCAACAATTTTCAAGTCTTTCTATATATGAAAGGAACACCGACATTATAGGCACTGAAATAGTTTGCCAAATCAGTTGTTGATAGAGTAGTGACGTAACCGGTGTCAATGAATTACGGTCACCAGAGACATCCAAAGGAATGTAGTGGATAAGCTGTGGGATAATTTCTTAGGCTTCGTATATTATTTGCCATGATAACCGTTATTAAAAATCCAGACGGCGTATGAACTTAGAAAACTTATCCGCTCTATACTACACTCTTACCATAAACTGTTTTTCTTTAGTCAGATAGTGTATGTTTACTGGTAGCATTATATTACGGTCAAATCATATCCGCGAATAGTTGGAATTCAGACACATGAATACCAACACAATGAATGGATGAATCCTATTCTGTAGCTGACTGAGAACCCGTACACAAACAGCTTAAAAGTAAAACAAAAAAGTTAAACACTAATTCCCGATCTTGGACTATTCTTTGGCCAATATTAATTAAATATAACTATTATACTCAATCAATTACATTCTTTCAGTTCTGTTGATAGAATAATGAAAAAGTGGTATTACAAGAATTAACACATGATTAGTCTTATTGTAAAACAGAAAATAGTTAATACGTTATGAAAATACAAAGAATGTTAAAACCACCAGTACAGTTCATTGAATCAACGACAAAGAAACACCTACAAATTGATGATCACTAAAAAGTGAGATGCTTTACAATAAATAAAAAGCAGAACTAGAATACAATTTATGATAAATCAATACTCAACGGAACAGAATGTAACACTGATTTTTAAATGCCAACATACAAATCAAAGCTAAGTGATACAGAGAAAATAATATACAAAAGGAATTAAATGCAGAAATCTAAAAATCTTTGAAATATATAATTTCCTTTAAACAAACGTTATAGAAGTTAATTTCATTCATTCAAATACGAATCAACTAAACGTGATTGAATAGACTCTAAAAAATCATTCCATGTCTCCAATTCCATATAATTGTCTAGTGGATGAGATTTATGCAATAATAAAGATTCTACAAGCTTTTCAAACATTTTTGCTTCATATGAATTAGTACTTGGAACATCAACAACACATGACATATGTGTATTTGTATACTGTTGACAATACGTTGACGGTGATGATAACATAGTTTGTTTAATAATACCAGTTTGTAATGGATAGTTCGGTAATGAATAAACTGAATGAATTGATTCTAATGAGCATAAATATGGAATATCTATGTCAACTGGTGAATTGTTAACAGTTTTATGTGAATCAACTGTTCGACTGAACATATTCCATATGTCATCTAAAAGAGTAGAATGTTTAATTCCTCGAGACATTAACCGACGACATAATACAGCTTCAGATGGTACATTTTTACCAGCTATTATTTTTCCTTGATTGTAATAAGGATTAAGATTATACCATGATAAATGATTATCTACCATTCCATTACAATCAACTCCAGTTTGTACAGTGAGCATCTAATGAAATGAATGAGAAAGAATTACTAGTTAAGTTAATAAATGTTGTATAAAAACGGTTGATTTTTGGTTATAAACAGTTTAGATAGTTACATTAATAGATTTATGCAATTGATTGAACAAGTACAGACCTATGTATTCAATCTTAACATATGCATTTTTGTATGAAGGTAAACAATACTGATCGATTACTTAGCCCCTATAAAAAGGTAAAGCAGAGTTCTAATCTTCAGTCTAATCATTGGAAGTCACGATCTTTTAAATTATCAGATCGTCAGTTGACTCATACAATTAAATTTTAAATATTACATTGCAGTAAACAAATAGTATAGAAAATTATGATAATTTTGTTTCATTTTTAAGATGGTTATTCAAGAAATAGATGGTCGATAATAAGTAATATAAAAGTTTCTACATTATGATTCCTTGATAAATTCAAATAAACCAGGAATAATAAGGTTTGCAGAATTACATGAATCCATAATAATACGAAGGCTCAAAATGGCCTAAATTTACATGAATAATATTACTCTGGAAAATTTATTACATATCACAATTAACGGAATGAGATTAGAAACGATATAAGCAATAAAGAGAAAGCAATATATTTAACAAAATAGTTACGAGTAATTAGTATTTACGTGTTAAAGGTGGCGTCATATAAAGAAGGGAATGAAGTTATAAGTGACAGTAAAGAAACATTAAGTTTTACAGTAGAGATTCACTTAAGTAAATAGTAAGCATATGGAAACTTGTACGGTTTAATATACTGGTATTAATTCTTATGGGTCAGAACAATCATTACTCAAATAGTGGTATACAAGAACAAGTTTAATTTGCAAGAGCAAGAAATATCACTAAACTAAAATAAGTGATATAATGTAACCAATTGGTGAATAACGCATAAAAGGTATACGCTAACAATTTACTGGGGAAAAATATACATATATATAGAAAAACTATACATATATATATAGAACAACATTAACCATGGTCAAATGTTATCTCACTGTTATGACAAAAATGTATACAAAAGAAAGAAATGAAGAGTTAATAACGTGATCAAGTGATTATCTATAGAAATTACTTTCAGCTTGCTCAGGAATTTATTACAAGTTATATGCATTGACCATACATATTAATAAATCACATGGAAACACTTCGAATAGATAATTTCACCACTAAGTCCAAGGTTCGAAACTCGCTACATTTACTTCGCTTAGGGCAACCGGGTAGTATGATTGGTCGTCATACCTGATGTGTGGCTCATATATGAATGCTGGATGAACGATTTAATTTAACTGAATTTGGAAATAACAGATAAATGAAGCCTTTATTCCCTACAACCCATCACATAAAATTGAGTCTGGTAAGTAGGTAATTTACCAAGATCTGTTTGAAAAACCACTTTACTCAAACTATTTAAAAAATATTCTAACGAAACGTTCGTTTGGACTCAGAATATTAATTTTCTAACCTATATATGTACTAGCGTCCATCATTTTAAAGACAATCAAGTTATAAAACTCTCACTTATATATATTTTAATACCCAATGAAATTATATGCATACAAAAAACGTTGGTCAACACAACCTTAAAGTAACTCACCTTTCTACCTTGTGCAAAACATGTCACAGACAAAAAGTTATCTAGACTCATACCACCATATTCAATCGCCAACTTTGAAGGGGTTGTAACTGTATCAATAACAGAGGCTAAGACACTCATTTTTTTACAGGGGTGAGGATGATCATATAACTGTGATGCATCTATAGGTAACCAACATGCATGACTTAGAAGATCCCCATGTTCCAATATATTTAGTAAGCACAACTGATTTACGACGGTCAGCTTCTTCAAACGCGCATCCATACGTGATACAACTGATGAATTATAAACAGGAACCGAAAAAAAGAACGCCTTTGGAAATTCTTCGCTGATATTTTCTAAAAGCTGGGAACCAATACCAGTGAAGCCATCTTCAGCATCTACAACCAGTTGGAAGCTGTTTGGAAACGAACAACGCTCTGAAATACGACGGATACGATCATCAAATTCGTCAGCCACCTTGCCTCCAGAACGAAATACATTTTGTCCCTGAAACGCGTGAGATACAAAACAACGATATAAAACCAGTACACCGTTGTTAATGATATTAAACACCTCATATGTACATCGATAAGTATTTAATATGAGTGGACAAACAAGCACTATTGTTTCTTAAAACATAATTATTTAGTTTTATGAAATTATCATATGCTATAGTATGAGATCTGAGCATATTAGATAGTTCAGAGGAAATTTTGGTAAGTTAGAAAAGACAAGTCTTTTCATGAGCTTCGAAATTCGAGACGATCATTCTTATTGCGTTTACAGTAACTTACAGACAAAAGCCAGTTACGACGTTTAGTGATAAATGAGTTTCGCAGACGCTTACATAATATAGTAAAGGAAATTTGGAAGTCAGTAAATTTATCACACTATGTACAGTGTCCAAGTGTTTTAGATCAAACGAAATTTTAGCCATCAGCAAATCCTTCACTTTTATAGTATATAGTTTCTGAAATGTGTTAAGTCAACTTTTAGACGTATATTCTTGATTTCGCAAACATCAAACTAATATAGACAGAAACACAAGGTAAAAAGCAACAAAAAGCTTGACATTTTGATATCTATCGAGAACAGGAATCAGTTGTAAGTTGCTAAGTGATGCACTCACAAATAACTCGCATAAAACATACCTACTGGAACTGGACATGAGAACCAGGTTTTAAATACATTGACTATTAGGCCAAGAAAAAATCTTCTGTTTGTCAGACAAACAGTCCACTTACAAAGTCAACGGAAATTTTACTATTTGCAGTAGAATAGCGTTGTTCATATTTGTATTGATCACTTGTTTAGTAAGCACAGGTACTCACGTAACTGGCATAGTACTTGTATATACGTTACATGTATCTAATTTCAGATAAAACTACTATGTCCAAAATCAAACCAGAGATACGATTAAAGAACGGTCAGTAGCAATAATTCTTTATCTATCAGTTACGTTTAAATATGAAAGCACCATGATACACAGGCTATCGAAAAAGTTACCATAACTTGCTCTTGCAAACTTGTGCTTTTTAGGCATATCATACAGTTATTCACATTTAAAGTATACAATCATCTATGTACAATTTTACAAACAATGAGTTTCCCGTTAAAGACTTTCATGGTATAAAAGTTTTATTAAAGTTGGATATCTATGAAAAATAAACAAAGTTATAAAATGACCAGCAATTACCTCAGTAAATGTAGAAAGGCTAAGGACAGAATCTGATTGATGAATTCCATTAACAGAAGACTCGTCAGGAGTAGGTTGTAATGATAATGGCAGCTTTAGAACAGTATCATTACGAGACCATATTCGTCGAGCAAGAGGAGACAAACAGTTGGTCCAATTACAATGATAATTATTTTTGGTCGATGTAGATGGGCAACGCACAACTTTATCCACTTGACTGTTCCAAGAAGGAATGTCGAGTGGAGTAGGAATTAAATCAGGATCAAGTTCACTTCCGAAATCAACAACTTCGCGTATATCAATGGCTAACGCATGTGGTTTTGGTTCGCGTGTACTATCATCAAACAGAACTTTATACGTGAAAGGAAACTCACATTCGTTAGTTCTGGATTTATTGAAAAATCCATATTCTTGCAAGTTCCAAAAATGAGCACAGACTCGGTTCGCTAAAGGACCCGCTTGAAGAGTTATGACTTCACCTTTATATGATTCCATGGGTAGGAAATATCTAAATTTTTGAATGTATAAAGGCATACATAGTTCAGTACCACTTATCAAACATTAAATGTTGAATATAAGGAAACAAAACAAGTAGATAATAACCAAACATGGGAAGAACAAGAATATGTAAACAAAAACAACATTTGTACGCATATTTACTCTTAGAACTGATCTTTAATATCAATTGAATTTGGACGACGAAATATAACATTAGAATAAATAATGAGTGACAAGAAGATTGGAGAATAGACTCCATTTAGGACAAGAGATCAATGAGATGGGATTATGATGAACGATACCTAAGGAATTTGAGTGGATTAATGTGAGCGCTATAGATATTTACAAACTATTAGTGTCCGTGGGGTTTAAACTCATTAGTTATTATTTATTTCTTAAACTCACCGAGTGCATTACTAGGAACGGCTAAGAATCAGTTGTGGAGTCGTCAGTCACCAGCACCGTAAAACCCGGCACAGGTGTGACGCAGGTATATATGCTATTTATTTTCCTCTAGATCTTGATTTTCAAAATTCTTTATTTTTATACTGTGAATCCAATACTTCTTTCCTTACCATTGTCTCTATTTAATTCCACTATTTTCAGTACTACAAATATCCCAACTACTTTGCTGTTTAATGTGCTAGCTTACCCACACTATGGCGCGGGAACATGAGCCTATCTAAATGTTGTATCAAGTCGATTAACTGAATGAGCAACCATTAGATATTATCAATATTTAGCGTTGCGACCAAATCTATTGATAGTTATGAGTCAAGCCTAGTATCCTTACAAACCAAACGATTTTCACTGACTTCTACTTGTACCGAGTTAGCCTATTATTAATTCATGGTTAGTTATCCTTGTGATATTGATTTGATTATTTCCAAGTATTAACAGCCTTGTACTTTAATTACGTATTACTTTCAACATTCTCAGGGTTTCATATATCTCCACAAAAGTTCACGTTTATATAATACGTTCCTATTGTTCGGCTATTGATAATCCAGTGGAAACGACCAATGACTACAATCAGTGTGATCCGTTACGTCTCTTCCTTGGTGGAAATAACGAAACGTTCCATGGCTAGGCGCTTGCCGTCTTTAACTAATTCCCAAGATCTGGTTTTAGCGGAATAATCGTAATCTATCGAGTTTGGTGTAGCGGAAGTATTCTGCAGTAGATCCAAACCCTTACTGATGTCAGTAAATGTCGCTCTAAGACCTCGCAGGTAGAATTTTTTTTTCGGGTTCTGATCAATTACATTGAGACATTATTATCTCCTGAAATAAAAGTAAATGAGCAACTAAGTACATTTTTAAGACCATATCCTTCAAGACTAGGGATTTGCAGATTGTATTCACTGGAATTTCAAACTGGACGGGACCGTTTTTCATGTTTTCCAAAAAAGAATTCAGAACAATCAGCTTAGTTATATTAACTAAAGATTATACGGCAACGTGTCAACAGATCTGCTGTTAATACATGACTGAGTTGAATGCGAAAGACAGCCTTTTATTGATGAAGTACTATTTTTCTTGGGGATAACTTTAAGAAAGGTCATACAAAGAAGGTATAAGAAGGCATTTAAGATAAGAAGACAAACTTTCTAATGTTAAGGAAAGTAATAGTAAACAACAGCAGTTACATAGATGTCGCATAAAGAATTACATTAAAACATCTATTTGTACTTTGACACATGTCTTAGGTGAAATTACGTTTGTTGTATTTACAAAGACTAAAGATCACTTAAGACGTTTCTGTAAAACAAAAACAATTAGGAACTGTGATTGTGGAACACTTCGTTTTTAAGACTATAAAGAACGATAGGACTCATTTCGACTTAAAGTGTCAGCTTTTTAATTGATCTCGTAGTAGATAAGTGGAGTAAAACACTAGTGGTTAAATCACCGTTGATTCTATAGGTTCCGAGTACGTACCTCCCAAACATTTATTCGGTTCGCAGTACCGCTACGAATAATGCATACAATATGGCTCAGATCAAGGTGCATGAAGCCATACTTGTCAAGCGCATTGAATCTAGCGTCTTTACAACTAAACCTTGCCTCTGTTTTTTGGATACAACTGCATTTGAGACGGTGACTCACTAGTTTTTCAGCTCTCTAAATAGGGAATAAAAAGAGCATATCTGTGCCACGGATGCAGAAATGCTGAAATTAGGAAAGTTCTACAGAGCTGTTGACTTAGTCGTTCAGATTTTGTCCATACATGGACATAATTATAATTATGGAAATGTATTGCAAGTGGGAGACTATTTTTATTCAGTACCTAGTGGTGGAAAAACAAAGCTCAGCGAGCTACTAATCTACAATATCACATTAAATATAGGCTTACAAAAGGAAAATCAAAGATTATCGAAAGCCATAGTTACCCAATCCCCTGTTATCGAGACAACGGTAGCACTACTTATCATATTTAGCGGTCGGTTTATTTCAAACCTCAAACTTTTCAATTGAAATGAAAGATGCACTTATAATTCCTGGGTAACAACTTTATCATCTGAGAATAGCAACCCATTCAAACGAAAAGTTAGAAGCGAAGAATTTCGAAGTTATATTTCATAGGCTTTCGATATATGGAGAAGTAATAACTCTAAGCTGGCTATGTAAAAAAGGTTAGTTTTTCGAACCAACTTTCTTAGCCACAAATCTTTAACGTTCGTGTCTTTTCTGGATTAGGCAAGGACTAACAAGAATGATACATCACTCGAGCCTGTTGTAGAACATCAACGTAGATGATTTATGTCGAAAATGATTGGAGGCCTATTTGACTTAGACGTGAATGGTGTGACAAACTGGCTAACGTCGAAGTCACACCTCGTGGTCAGCACCTTACAAGGACTGCCCCATTGACGTATCAAGGTACCATAGATGCTCTGAAGACTGTACAACACAGTGGACGTTATTACAGAAATATATTAGTTAAAGTAGATACAAGCGAAAGTGAGACCACTGCCGCATGGGTCAGTCCATGGCATACGATTAACTGATGGCGTTGGTTGTCCCTGACCTTGATGAGGATCGATGATTTGCTCGATATTCAATGACCCAACTGTCGGATGATTTGGCCACGACTTAATGACATTTCACTGACCCTACATTGTCCTTCAGTTCCTATCAAAATTCCTCATATTCGATACAAAGTATTTAGGTCTTGTAAAAACTATTTGCCAAAAAAATCAAATAGAAGGCATTCGAAATAATCAGATCACCAGAAAATGTGATCGACAGGGTTGGACTGGTGCATTTTACAGTCATATGCCTAGTCTGATATCACGTTCTAACATGAGCATGCAAAATCAGAAGGCGAAAGGAGATTGTAACCAGGTTTATTCGTTGGCGATCTCAAATGGTTCAAATGGTTCGAATGGTTGTGGACGGAATAGAAGAAGCTTTCGCTGAACAGGCTTCCGTGTCTAGTAGCAGAGGATCATCTAATCCTTCAGGCAGGAACCTAGGTATGTTAACAATAAAAGAGGAAAAGAAATTGGTAAATCATAGTGTGATGCTGTCCTTGGTCCTTAAGAATAGGTCAAGTTGCCTCTTGAAGGACTCCTGAGAAGTCGCTTGGACTAGCTCGGCCGGCAGCGAGTTCCAGCTTCTGACAACTCTTAAGGAGTAGAAGTTGTGTCTACATTCCTTCTTGCTATGTTGTGTTTCCAGTTTCTGGGTGTTACCCAGATCGTGCCAAAGGAAATACAAGTGGAATCAATGGGCGAACGTGCGAGCTTGTACGCTCGTCACAGTCAACGGAAGAATAACGGAGGAGTAATGGATCTCTTTAGTACAGTTAAACAAACAAGCACAGTAAAACAATCACTGTTACAAATGTTTATAATAGTGATTTTTTCCAATAAACCAATCGCATTCTCTTGATAAAAGTTGGTCATTACATGTTTGTAACGGTAATATATACACGAGATCAATAGTTCTGTACATGTTCGGCATTTAATGCTGGCCTTATTAATTTTAATAGGTAGTCATTATTCAGCTTAGACTTAACGCTTCCCGATATATCAATAGACTTTCAAATGTATATCCGAGCTCTTTTTCCGTCTTCTTATTTGACTGATTACAAAACGTATTACTGGTTAAGGCGTTGTCAAACCATGAATACTTGTTATACTTTTAAGCTAAATGTGATACCTTGCAGTCTCTAAGGGAAGAAATCTTGCAAAGTATTATATTCCTTTCACCACAGAATCCTGAAAATTATAATCTATGGTGTACCAGAGAAAGATAACTTAAAAATACAATGGAGTAAATTAGTCACAGTAGAAAATATGAATGCAAGTATCACTGTCGTTTTATGCCAGCATTCATAATCTAGAAGTGATAAGAGGAAAAGCCTTCTCAGTAACAGCTGTCTTAATTTCACGAAAAGAAATGGTTTACAAACTCTACCGAGATGCTTGAAAAAATCCAGGACACTTACATGGAACTGATGTTTTTGTTCTACAAAGAGGATCCGGCTATTCGAGGTAGTATTGCTGGTCGAGCCACAAAATATTTGGACAGAAATCTCTGTATGGTTTCAAAGTACAAAGTGAAAAGTTGCCAACTGATTCATTCAGAACTCATTCCACTGAAGGAAGCACTCAGATCCCAATCCAGAATTTTTCGCAGTATGATCAAATTGTCCTCCTGGAGCAGCATTAAATTCCGAGGTTGAGAAAGATTTTTTGTTCTGCAAAATCATGTTACGCTCTGATTGTAGCAATTCAAGCTATAAAATCCACGCGTCAATAATAAGTTAAGAAGTGCTACAAAACGAGACAGAGTATTGACTACTATATACGATGCCACTTGCATTGATGAAAATCCTGACCTCCATGAGTACAACCTCAGAAACGCTATGACCTGTTTGCGTCAATGTTTTTGCTAATCATGAAGATAGTAGTTTTGAAAACCCTTTCTATGATTAAATTTCACCGACTCTTGCATTTGGCATTATTTCAGTTTAAAATAGGGAAACTCACTTCGGTCCCTCCGCCAGTCAAGAATACAATGCAGCGGCTCAATCTGCTTCACTCCGTCTGCAAAACGACCTACGAAATACCTACGGTCCAAGACTACGACCACAAAAGACGACAAGACGAGACCTAGAAACTAACAGCGGATCCTGCTCTACAGTATCAAGCAAATATACTGAACTTCGAAACGATTGAATATATGAGACTACTTTCTACTACGATGTGCAATATCTGCTGTGACAGATCGGACGAGAGGATTGGTAGACGAAAACATGGGACTAGACGACGATACCACTGACTGTCTACTCGAGGCTTGTTGAACATTGGTTAGAGTCACAGAGTTGACTTCTGGGATTTGTTGGGTCCCGCAACCTTCTCCACGACAAGATTTAGTGCCGCAGGTGTCTCCAGCTTTCATCCTCCCCCCATCTAGTGAGCTTAAATATTATCTGGCACCTTTAATTACCGCAACATCACTTCTCTCGAGCCGTGTGCTTTAATGTCTAGTGACCGTTAACGCCATTTGTGCTATCACAATTTTGACTTCTGCTACTTATTCTACCGCAGTGATGTGATATGATAACTTAGGTTGATACACATTTCCGACCAACTCGCTGTTGAACATTACTTACTCCAAGTGTTGAATATTAAAAAGTGAATTCGAAATATGACTACCATTTCTATTTGACAGCGTTTTTTTAAGTACTTGTTAGAGAACTGAATGATGTTTCCCACTGGGGACAATAAAGCATCGAGGAATGAAACTAATGTCGTAAATTAAATGGCAATTCCTTCATTCTATTTGGGAAAGGAAGTATATGAAGAATAAAAACGATTAGAAAAGAGCACTTTTTGGCGGTTATCAGAATGGCAAAATTAAAGCCTCTGTCTACAAACTTTGCAGTCATTTAAACGTGCTAGCAAACATATCATAGTATTATAATATACTTGTCTAATGACACTGAGTTATGCACCATGAATTGAAAATGTGAATAACTCAAATTAGAAAGAACGAAGTGAAATTAGACAAAAAAATATGTTGATCATCAAAGAATGGACCAAATGGGATGAAAATATTAAACATAGTATATATTTACAGCGTTGCATCATAAAAATAATAAGTACATATTATTTGTAGCTTGTCAAGAAATTTCTCCGCTACGATAGTTCAAATCCAGCATGACTATTTATAGCATATCTTAACTTTTCTTTCAATGCACTACGAGACGAGTAATTAGGTAATTTTAAAAGATTAAAACAAGTAGACGCAGTTGGTAGGCGAGATACTTCTTCACGACGACCAACAACCCCCAGAAATCCTTTCAGTACTGATCCTAGAGTATCACCGACATCCTGTAGAAATCAGAAGTAAAAATATGAGAAAATATTTACCAAAACGGAGATTATTCTCATTTCAAAACTATAAACAAGAAATCCATTAACAATAAATGCATCGATTAGATAAAGAACGTAAATATCTAGACGTCATCAGTTGTAGATTATTAAAAAAATGTCGAAGGTGAAGTGCATCATTGTGAAACCCATCTCCCACGAATTTTCCTACTTTCATTTTTGAGCTATAATTTCTAAGTTAACAATATGAGTTTTTTAACAAACAGAATTTCTATTCTCATCTTTCTCCTCTGTACGTCCATAGTACACTTTACAACTTGTTTTCAAACTTATAGTTTTATCTTCTCTCAATATTTCTATTAACAAAAGATCAATTGTCATTCTAACGTTAACAAGATAAAACCACTAATTATGGACAGTTTTAGCATGGTTTGGTTATTCTCTTTATCACTGGTTTATATCAATAACTAACAATAATAATTCGTAGAATCTCATAAACATAAATTAATCTTCGTTAACTTGCCTTTATGTTTTATTAATCAAGGTAATTTTATTAATAATTTAAAATAACGTACTTGATCTTCATTAGTATAATGTACACAACGTATACAAAATGGTGGTTCAAGATTAGCGAACCCCAAAAGAGGTGGCCTAGAACAACTGGTAACAAACTGTAGAAAAAACGAAAACAATTAATTTCTTTTACGTAGAGAATAAATGAAATACTTTATTTCACTAAATACTGAGGGAGTATGAAATGTAAAAATTTATGTATATATTGTCTATAGGAAACGTTTCTGAGATTAATGTAGAGACAGGTCAAGTACATTATGGCTGACTGGTGAGATAACATTTAACTATATCAGTTGACTGTCTACCTATTAACCTTCAATTCAACTACAGAATCGACACATTTAAGAGTTGTACAAAAATAACTAATTGTATCAGTTGAACAACTTTGATTATTCAACTGAACGAATTAAACCGTAACCAAGGATGCAAAAACCCCACTAAGAAAAAACACATTATGAACTATGTACTATGAGTAGACACTAAAAAGAATTGACAACACATTGTGTACAGAGCTTAAAGTCACTAACAT